GTGTTTAGCCGAAACACCTTTTAAGTCATTTAGGAAAAAAAATTCCAAGCTAGTCAGAAATTCTCCCCTCCCCTACTGAAGATGTAGGCTACCACCTACTAATTTTTGAAATCCATATATTACTTTGGGGAGGTACGAACTAATAGTCTTTCCAAAGCTGCCAACCACAATGACAAAAGCAAGAAATCCTACCTGCAATGTTTTGCAGGAACACTTTTAGAAAACAAAAGAACATAAGCAGTGAAAAACCTATCACAAAATAACTTGGGTTGGAAGGGGACTCCAGGCCCATCCCTTGCTCAAAGTAGGGCTAATTTCAGCTGAACACCTCTAAGAACAGAGGTCCCACAATCTCTCTGGGCATTCCAGGTGACCATGCTCTTGGTGAAGAATTCTTTCCTTATATTCAGCTGGAATTTCCCTGTTGCAGCTTGCACCAGTTTCGTCTCATCTTTTTGCTGTGCCCCCTCCAAGAAGCACCTGGCAGCACCTTGTCTGTAACTCCTATCCACGAGGTAGCTGAAAACAGCAACTAGGTCCCCTTTAGCCATCCTTTCTCCAGCTTCCTCAGCCTCTCCTCACCCACCATGTACTCCACTCCACTATTCTTCTCGGTGGCCTTTATGCTGCACTGGCTCCTGTTTTGTCAGTCTCCCTCCTGCACTGCAAAGCTCCAAACTGGATAGGGTACTCTAGATACGGTCTCACAACTGCCAAGTAGATGGGAATAAATATCTTCCCCAACCTGTTGGCTACACTTGCTAATGAAGCCCGGTGCACAGTCACCCTCCACTGCTGCAAAGGCACACACTGCTGACTCATGTTCAACTGACTCGTCTGCCAGGACTCACAAGGACGGAAGTGCCATGCTGCACTCTAGCAGGCGTCAGGGTGGTTCGAGTCTAGCGTGTGAGCCAGGGCCCGCTATCATCGTGACCCTGCTAGTCGCCTAAAGAAGGCCTTGTCAACTTCCTCATCTTGATGGGGCAGGTCTGCTGCAGGCACTCACCGTGACGCCCCCCTCACTGTTCTCCCCTCTAATCCTGACCCATAAGCTCTCAACAGGCCTGCTGCCCTTTCCAAAGCAGAGTTCTGTGCATTCAAGCTATTCCTCTGCAGATAGTACAACCCCTCCATCTTCCCTACCTGGCCTTGCTAAAGAGCACAGCACTTCTGTTACGTAAGCTGGGAGCTCCCAGCCCTGAAACTGCAGAGACTTCTAATTTCACCTGGCCATTTCTCACTTATTCACACACATCTGAGACAAGCCCCCAGTCACACTGCTTCCTCAAGAGCACTGTGAACACCTGCCCTGTTGGGCACTCCCCATGTGCACTCCCCGACTCTTTCTTATCTGCTACAGAAAGCAGTTAGGTTAATCTGTGACTAAATGAAGCTCCCTAAAGGCATTCGAGCCTGCCTACCCTAGCTAGCAACAATTTACTTTTTTTCATTTTTAAACAAGCTGCTCAAGTAACTGTTTTTAAAAACAAGTTCAGTCAAGACCGAGATTGATTAAAGTGTTCTACATACAGGGAAACTTTACCCTGCCATCCATTTATTCACCTCAAGCTCCCTAACCTAACAAAAGGAATTCCAAAAATCTAGCATTTTCTGACTCTGCTAGAGATGGGACTGCTTTCCATAATATGGCCCCTGGGCAGCATATAAAGGTTTAGGAACATAGCAAAAAAAGCTCAAAGTAGGCTTGAATCAGAACAAATAATGTTTGAGAACAGACTGCAGGTTCTCTGGAGCAGAGACCCCTGTACCTTTTCCACTATCCGATACAGATGTGCAAGAGGTTCAGCCACAGTACACAGAGGACTAAAAAGGTTAGCTGGAATCCTAAATTTGTGCTGTGCACAAATGTCGATTTTTCCCCTAGAAACTGAAAAAAATTTGAAATATATTCAGCGTAAGTTCTCTTCTAGGGGCAGAACAGAAGCAGCATTATATTACACATTCAGTCACGTTTCTCAGACTTTCCAGTATCTGAAAAAGAAAAACAACATACTGAAGCTGTTTGCTATATTTTACTCAATCATGTTACCCAATCAATATATATATTCCCACTTCCTGTCTCTGCAACTGCAGTTTGATTTCAGAAATATGCTGACTAAAAGGCAACGAGAACCTCAGGTTACCTGCCTTCCGAACTCATTGCACAGGAAAGGGCAGGGCTGTAGCTTGCATACCTATGACTGATAATTATTTTTTTTCCACCACAGTTAAAACCCAGGCATGGGCAGAACTCCATGTCTTTCAAGACAGACAGGTATCAGGAACTCCTATTTTCTTGGTTCTCATTAGAAGCTGCTTTAGTAGGTAAAAATTATTTTATCTGAAATATACATAGGGTGTACATAGATCTGTACTGTTACTGTATCCTGCACCAATAGTTAATGTGGACTACCAGCATAATACTCTGTTTCATTCATCCACAAATGTAACAATACATTGCTGGTCAAACTGTCTAAAGAAGTACATTCACTAAGCTCCAAAAGATGACTTGCACCATCTACAGGTCTTACAGGGTTACAAGATCCTTACTGTTAAATTTTTTTTTTTTTTTTAAATAAATCTGCCAGTCATCCAGTTCCATGTTACTGGAATAAAAGTCAAGTCAAAATATTTCCTGGACAAGCACAATGGCAAGCTTATTCCAAAACACTGTCATATAACAGCAGTCAAACCTAGATAGTTTAGCCCAGTTTGATGACAGGTTTGCACTGGTCAGTGCTGGAGTGCTACTGCTTCAATGTTGCACACTTCAAGCTAACACATAATTAGTAACCCACCTTAATGACAAGGGAAGCACTGCTTTCCTGGGAACAGTACCGTTTGGAAAGGAACAAGAGTCCAGATATTTTCTTCTCAAAGTATCTATAAACTCTGAATTAAAGTGCTTCTAAATTCTTAGAACAGCCACAGACTACAGTATAGCGTACAGAGAACAACTTGGCAATTCAAATATCTTTTGAAAGATTTGCAATCTGTTAATACTTCTCATCAGCCCCACTAACAATTTCTTTTATTATGCCTGTTCTTTCAGATTAAGAGAGAATACTCTTCTACGCTTTGAATAGCGTTAAGGTTATGACAGTATATCAGCTGCTTAAGGGTGAAATAATTGCTTTTATCCCAAAGCTGAAGCAGTATATTAATCAAAGTAGCACTTGAGAGCCAGATGTACTCAGACAGGCTTAGCAACGCTGAAAAATATGATTATCGAATTTTAATGCACATAAGTACAGATTAAAAACAAACTACTTTTAAGAAGCTACAATCCCAGTGATTTTACAGCTGAGCAAAATAAAAGGGGTTACCAATGACCTCTTTCAAAATCATTAACAATCGGATGCACCAACCTTTAAAAACTTTAGTAAGGCTTAACTCAATTTACATACTGCCTTTCTTTAAATATAGCTTTTCCCTGAATACAGTCAACATATCAGGTAGAATCGCAACACAGAACGCAGAGATGACGATCATAACTCTACAAAACAGGTCAGGTTACATTTTCTGCCTACCGTCATTAAACCCCATCTTTATAAAGAAAGCACTGTCTCTTTTCCAAACTTGTAGCCCTTCTGACGCCCAGTAACGACTGAACAAGTTTGACAAAAACGGCAAAACTCCTAATGTTTACTTTGGCGCCAAAAAAACCTACAAATGGCATTAACAACTTTCAGCATTTTAAAACCAACATAACCATTGAAGTTAGCTTGCATTTGAGGGTTCAAAACTGACTGAAGAAGTAAATCCTGGGCACCTAATCAAAAAACTCATGTTGAAAGCTCTTGTAACACAACATTAAGATGCTACATTCAATAAACCCGGGGACATTGATTTCAGGTTCACGTTGATATTTTTAACTGCGCTTTCAGCAACTTGCTAGGCATCATTCTGCAAAAGGTTAGAAAAAGCAGAAAGAATTGTAGAAGAGAGGCAGAATAGCCTAATTTGCAGAAATCTAGAGAGAAATTTACTCTTTGCATATAACTTCTTTAAGGCATGAACGTGCCCAAGCCAAAATTTGGTTTTCGGCATGGCCGATCTGTGCTAGTCCTACAGCCAGCATAGAGGGACGTACCTGTAACGCGTTATTTGAAACATGAGCCGTAGGGAAGATTTCAAAGTTTAAATTTAGTTTTCTGGACTTTTCCCGCTTTGTCAAGATGCGCATTAGCATACATTTTGCAATGTACTAATCTACCATTCACCTGAGTTTCCATGCAGTCTGGTTTTGGGTGGTAAGAGAATAGGTATATTTTAGTACGAGCTTAAAAAAAAAAAAAGTGCAACATTTATTTGCATGGCGAATATAACCAAGAAACACACATAGACAGGAATACAGCCTTTAAGATTTTTCCCTTTCTGTGAAACTGAGAATTATTTGCACATTCTCTGCAGAAATCTGCCAGATTCTGTAAAGCCTCTTATCAACTGATACGGCTATTTGTTAGTAGGGTAGACACATTGTGACAGGCAGCAGTATGAAAGACTAGATAAAGACTACCATATTTGGGCTACAACCTCTAGGCAAGATATGGTTAAGAGCGCCCTGCTACAACCAAAGGTAGGTTGCTTCTGGAAATACAGTGAAACTACTACCGCTTCCCCCTCCCCTTGGTAAACTAAAAGTGGTATTATTATATGGAATCAGTATTTGCAGTATGGATAATAATCTGCTAAACTGCCTTAGCCTGCAGCATGAATTATTTGACCATTTAAACATACCGTATCCCCTCCCTTTAAAAGGTCATAATTGTATACCTAAGAGTAACTTGCCAATTTGCATTTTATTGAGCAAAAGAATTGCTGCTCTGTTTAACTACAACGCACTAGAGGATAGCACACTATACTGTAAATGGTGGCTGGAGTTTTGTAAGAAATCAGTATTGAAGTTCTTTCTTTGTCGTAGTGTTTTGCTCAAAAAGGAACAGCTAGAATAGTTACTAACTTGTAGAAGTCTACAAAACATGTAACACTGTTACCTTTCTTCAATTCTATTCTTATCCATAAGTGGCTGTTTGATCCACTGATTAACTAGTCTTTGTCCTTGAGGGGTTCTGCATTTATTCAGTAAACCAGCTAGTGACTGTGCAGTATTAGCATTTTCCACAGAACTCTGAAAAGGAAAAAAGAGTTAGTGAACACTATTGACCACCGAATGGCACCCAACTTTGTTACCTACGAACAGATCAGAGTGTTTTCTGAGTTCACTTGGCATCCATAAAAAAAACGCAAATTAAACAGCATGGCACTGAAGCAGTTACACTGTGATCCAAGGAACACGGCAAGCAAGGAATAGGTTCGTCTATTTTGATATTAGCCGCTTGAATAGAAAAAGTGAAAACGCAGCTAGACATTTCGTAGCTTGTCCTTCGACTAGGAAAGGTAGACTTGTACCAAGGACAGCACTGTATCAATATGAGAAACTGCAGAATCTGAGCAAGCATCAGAAAGTAGTCTAGTTACCTGTCAGTCTCCCAAGCTTCTTAAAACCATTTGTGTTACAATTGACATTGGTGTTTTATACAGGGATAACCTACTGCAGCATGTCCAAGTTAAACGGCTATGGTTTCCAACGGTCTTATATAATCAACTGCATCTGTTGCACCATCAGAACTTCACCTGTACGCTTCACAGAATGACTCAAAATATCTTGCCTCTGGCTTCAGCGCCTGCCCAAAAACCTCCACAGAGACAGCCTGACATGCAGGCCATAACACAGCTTCCTGCTGCATAGCAACCTCCCCCTGTTCTGAAGCGTACAACAGCCCATGGGGACAGGCAAGGCAGTGACACTTCACACCTGCGAGAACTTACGAAGGGAAGTAGCTAAGGCGGCATCAAAATTCCTAGAACACCTCCATAAAACCAGGGAAGAGGTCTAACTTCTGTTTCATTCCCCAGAGTGGCAAAGAATCAGGAAATAAAGCAATGAAGACAGAACACCTTTCCCCAGGTTTAACTACCAGTTCAGATGCTAAGTAAATACCATTTTTCCCCCAGAAATCCCTCCACGGTAAACAGGACCGTGTTTGTGATTTCTTCCAAAAAGCCTGAAATTCATGCAGACTAGGTCCAAGCAAGGATCACGAAGCAGGATTTGCCAATATGAAAACAAAAAAGGTTGATGCACAACTGTATCAGCACACCACTGTGAGTCCAGCTTTTCCTACGACTACGGGGGTAGGGGGAAACAGGTGCGGTAGAAGTTTGGGAAGACTGGTAACCTGCTTGAATTTGAAGAAAGTGCACTTAAGAAGTGAAACTGATACTGCCCAGTTAACATGCTATGGTGCATTATTAAATTCTGTCCTGTTCACTGCTCTGCCTCCTGCAGTTTGCAACCAGCCTGCCCTTTCCATCACTAACAGCAGTGCTCCTGGAATAGGCTTCCTCTTCCCCTAGTACTAATTCAGACTATTTCCTTTTCCAGAAACAGCACTACTGTAGAAAATAACTGTGCTTCGGAGTTTCCTATCATACCACATATCTGTGGAGCTCTCCTCCTCCCCGCCTGAGTCTGCTCCTGCCACTGGAGCTGTGAACTTCTTTGTCCCTAGCTAAAAACAAGGATAGACAAAGCACGGCCTCCAGGGCTTAGCCAGACTCTTCAGCAGGTACAACCATAAAGTACTTTTTTAAGGCTCTTCCCACATCTGCATTCTACATGCAGGCACTGGTTTATGATCACTTCCTACCTCTCTCATGAACTTCTCTTCTACATTCAAAGCTTGCTTGCAACAAAAAAGCCTGTAACAGTGGCCAACAGCGATTCTGAAAGTTACAGTATAGAGGACAGCTTAAAAGAAAGCTGAAAAATAAGTCATCACCTACCAGGATCTGAGGAGCTTTGATTGGGATGTCAGGTTGCTACTTATCAAGCAACTAAGCAAGTATATTGCAAAATGCTTACCAATTCAAATGTGTATTTCTTACCTGGAAAAGGTTGAGGGCTTGGACAGCTGCATTATCTAGAACCATATATTGACTAAGATCAAAAGTAGTCAGTTCAAATTGTCCGAAATTAGACTCATCCGACAGCAACTCTAAAAACTTGATAACAGCTGACAAAGATGAAATGGCAACCTGAAGTTAAAAAAAAAAAATTCTTGTCAGACCTATTCTTGAACCACGAATCTTTTGATAAATGGACCTTTCAAATTACAAAAGATACAATCAAAAAAGATCTGAGCCATGTCCCTGCTGGAACTGACACACAGGACTCATCTTGTTTCACAAGACTTTGTCTTCGCAGGGACGTTCTAGGGCACTACACCTTCTTTCTAGGGAGGTGCAAGAACAACAAGCTAGACATTTGCATAATCTGATATAACAAAATGAGATGCAAAGTACACACCTTGCCAGCTTTCCAAAGCTGTTATCACTATGTTTTGGGCTAAGGAACTCAAACAAGTTATTGCAGATAAACGGGATATCACATATCATCTGAAGACATGGTTTCAGGGTTAGCTTTCAGCCACAGCCAAGGAACTGATCTGGCACACTGCACAGCCTTACAAATGCTAGTGCCAGCACAAAAGAGAAAGAACATGACTGACTTGTTTAGTGGTAACAGACTACAAACAATTTTACCGTGTTATGAAATCACACATTAAGGGAGAATAACTCCACTGGTTCTCATTGCAAATGCAAGGTACAATGAAAGACGTTTTAAAACAAATTAAAACATGTTATCTCAAGCAGATTACCTCTTGTTTACAGCTGACTAAGGACAAACACGCTCAGTTGACATGCGGGCGCTAAATCATATGTTTGAACCATAAGATGACACAAAACCCAAAAATACTAGCATAAACAGTACTTTGTTTCCAGATATGAGATTCTCTCCCATCATACGAAATAATTAAAGGATCGCATTTCAGTTTTTAGGCTAGAAAGATTATGAATAGGAAGTACAGTGAGTTTGCTTACCAGAATTTAGCATTTTGAAGAAATAAGCGAAGGTTTTTTTGGTTTTTTTCCAGAGGCCTCCTAAACCCTACCTCAACATAAAGACCCAAGGGCAGCAGGACTGCTGAACACTTCAGCAAGAAACACAGCTTGATATATCATGGGCTGTACAGAGTACATTCACAGAAGCATGTGAACACAGTATAAATTGGACCAGGAAGGGTAGAGGATGTCAGCTCACAACATAGGCGCACATCACTCATCTTTTTTTTAAAAAAAAAAAAAAAAAAGTCCATGGACCCAAATAGTGCTCTGCACTAACCTGCTTTTCCATCTCTGGCAATGCTGCACTATTCGTTTGTTCTTCTTTTTTTGACTTTAACAATCGATTGAGATCCTGAACAATATCTTTTGTTGTGAACTCTGCCTTCTTTCTGTCTGTAATCAGGATTCCTCCTCTCTGAATGACCTGTTGTGCATAAACATATATAGTTATTACTTTCAATTTTCAGGGGATGGACATTCGTCCCTTACAAGTAAACCCCAAAGATGCACATTTATTTAAGGCAAGGCTGCACAGAGAAAGACAGACAGGATTTTACCCTTACCACAGCTTTCGCCAATTCAAATGCAAGCGAGTCAACAGAGGAATAATACATTCTGGATACAGAAACCAAAATTTCTTCAAGTTCACAAATCAGTCCTTCATTTTTCTACAAATCATGGAGCCTAGGCAATAAGCTAGGGATACAGCTTTTTAGATAATGTTTCGTCTAAACATAAGCCACGAGGCCATGGTCACAGACAATTCTCTTACTTGTCGCAGTTTTCCCATCTCTCCAGCAGTCTCTCCTCCTGGTAGCACACACTCCTTAGGTCCTAGCTGAACCAGTAGAGCTTCAAGGTTTGAGAACTGATCATTATCTGGAAACTCACAGACACTCAATTTTCTTAGTGTACTATCAACATATCCCACTCCAACTACTCTTTGTCCATCAGTAGTAGACAGCTTCACCCCCACAACCCCAATGGCAGTTGACATGTCGTTGTTGGCAAAGAGAACTTCCTCAAACTGGGCGAGGTTTCCTGGAGAACCCTATTAAAGAAAGATATATATTGTTTAAAATAATGCTTGTGTGAGCATGCACAGGTGCACATACTTTTTTTTTTAAAGGATATCAATGAATAGAATTAAGTAACAAATACTCTGCTAGTAGAAAATGTACAGCTTTTTTTTTTTTTTTAAACCATTAAGATTACACCTATCATCTACACCAAGTCAACGATCTCGGGCTTCCTTAAACTCCCAACCCAGGGCAAATATATAGGACGAGCCCCTCCTGCCCTAGAACAGTAGAAAACAAAGATCTATAACAGATCACATGATTTATCATCACCAACGGCAGTCCCTGAGAATCCCTGAGACCCAAAGGGAGAAAAATTGTACCTTGTATGCCAAATACCAGTCATTTTCTTTGGTAGATTTACTCCCTGCTCTGTTCTTGTAAACTTCGACTCTGTAATGACGAACCAGAAGCAGATCTCTCACAAACGATTCAAAGTTCATTTTACTAAGCACAACACTTTCCAGTTTCTGATTTCCTACAAGAAAAAAAAAGATACCTGCATTATTAATAACGTTTATTCTTTGTTACCACAATCCTCAGGAAACAGAGTTAACAGTCTACAGAAATGGTGTCATACCGATAGTGAATAAAGCAAGCATGTAAAATCCATGAAACAAGACAAAAAACACTCAGCTGATTAACGTTAAGAACACACCCTATCCAAATAAAAAGCAATGTTCATTTCCAAATTTCACTCATTTTATACATGTGTACGTAAAAAGATCAGCTCCTCTCACCCTTCTTGTCTTCTTACAATATTCCTTATTTGTTTTTCTAACTTATCTTTTATATCTTTTAATCTAGTGAGCAGTGGAAACAAACGACAGGTCTTCTTTCTTGATAACCCGCTTGCTTTCCTGGATAAGCCACATCTGTCAATGAACACACAAAACAGCCTGTCACTGTACTCACTCCGAAGATGGCGAAGACATCTCCCTAGTGCCATGGAAAAAAATATATTCTGTAAATACATTCTAAGCACAAGAAAGTTTACATTAAAACCAATTTAGTGGGCGTATAGTTGGTAAACTTCTTGCTTTTGCACCTACAAAGATGCAGGCAGACGGAATAGCTGAGCAAATTTAATTCTTTACAACTGCCAAGAGGAGCAGTACCACTTCCACCTCCCTACCTCTCGTGCCACCTCTGGGACCAACCTAACCACAGAATAAGATGACTCCATTACTAACCTACCCAGCTGAAAATGCCGGTTGTTTTGTTTTCTGCCAGATCAGCAAACTGAGTTAATTCAGAGTGGACTGAGTCCGTAAGAGCTATAAGACATAAAAGGCAAGGACTCGCAATGGATAGGGATCATCACATCTCTCTTTTCAGCGGCATCTGCTAGTTTAGCTATCCAAGTAGGCATTCCTCACACTTGAGATTTTACATACACCTTTATGTACAACATATAGATTTGTTTATCAGGCTGGACACTGTCCGTAAGACATCATTTTGAGCAGGGCTTTTTTTTTTTTTTCCCCCCCCTTTGCTCAAAACTCTAGTAACTCATTTTTCAGAAGCAGGTATGAAATTAAGCCCACATAAGTAGATTCTCTTTGCCAGTGCAGAGTTGTCCAATACAACACAATTTTTTTTCTTATATGTGACTAAGAATACACTGGCTGCAGACAAAGAAGGCATATGTGTGATTCAAAATCCTTCCTGAAAGCAAAAAAATTAGTTTTATGTTGACTTTCAATTCGATATTCTAGATAAGGCTATAGTCTGCAGTACTTTAAAATGCGAGTTGATAATCACAGGCTTGTACCTGCAAAGTGATTCCTTTTAAATTAAACTCAGAAACTATACCAATGCACGCGCTTCTAGTCTGGAAGATATTATTTCAAATCCTAGGCTTGAAACCATCAAGCTCTACAAGTCCTCCGCAAAATATTTCCTTAGTTCCTAGCCCATCACTTGCACAAAAAGGTGAAAAGCATGAGAATACCATAGCAAGAGATAAATAAAATGCAATAGGGGGAGGGGAGGAAAAAAAAAAAACTTATGCAGTACATAATTAAATATGCTATTCACTGCTGCAGGCCATCATGAGTATAATAGCAGTCAATAACAGAAACTCCACATATTTTCATTTTACCATTGCTAAGCAGTTATCTGCACTATAGAACTATGTAAATCCAGCCTTCAGTTATCACAGAAAGTGTCACGCAATTCTTTTCATAGAGATCTACCAATGGTCTGAAAAAGTGTTATTAGCTGCTGTTAATGTATGCAATAAATTGTGTTTAATTAGTTACGCACATCTGATAGTCCTGCAATAAGCTTATGTCAGGAGAAGTACATATGCAGAATCATGCTTTCTGCTGTAGATACCTTCCTACGTTTGTACACCTACATCTGTCACGCACATCCTGTTCAGAACGGGTACTAGTCATCATTTCAAAGCAGCAAGAGCTTGAAGAATTCAGATTTGCATTCTATTATGCGTCCTTTGAAGCAGCAACGAATCACAGCAGACCTCGAAATCGAGAGACCGCCTAGTGTCTTCCTTCCTACGCTTATCAGCACAGGAAACAAGAGCACAGATTACTCCAGCTATTCTCAGCAATACACATAGCACACGCTTCAGCAGCTCAGTACCTCTAAGCAGTTATATAATTGCCTAGAGCATAAAAGAGGAGAGCAGCGTCTCTTACCACAAAGAGGTACCTCTCTCTGAAAACCGACGCCTAAGATACCTTATTTTAAAGGAACATACAAAACGCAACAAAGGAACGTGAAAAGCAGCGTACCAGCCCGAGTTACACCACCGCAGGCCTTACCCTTGAGAGCACAGCAACGCTGCACCCGCTGCCCCAAAGCGGCTCCTGTCGGGGCATCTAGCACACAGCCACACACACACACGGGCTCACGCCTCTCTCCCCCTCAGCACCCGCTCCGCGCCGGTGGGACCGCC